AAGTACAAAAAATATAACGTGAAACTAAAGTTGATGGAAACTAGAGGAAGAAGATAAATCGATTGGGCAAATAAGAATAAGGCAGATTATATTACTTACTTAAGAACCGTTCGAAGAGAAAGTTTTGTAATATTTTCTTCCTCTGCAGTTCCTCCGCTTTTCTTACCAGTATCATCCAACTAAAGTAAAATCAGAAGATCAACAATGAATTCCGCAGATCAGATCGAAGCTCTGTTTGGTTTGCAGGTCGAGGAAAAAGTTCCGCCAGCTCCGCCTATGATTCCGCCGGAGCCGCCTATGCTCGAGGGAGGCATAGAAGGCAGTGATGGGATTCCGTTGCTGGATGGCTTTGATGCCGTATCTTTCGAAACCATTAAGGGGTTCGACGAGCCATCCCACGAAGAGGATGCAGAGATCGATGCTCGGCTGCAGGAGGAGCTGAATTCGCTGCCCATGGTGGAGCCGGAGCCAGAACCGGAACCAGTGCCCGAGCCGGTCGGCCAACCCCAGCAGCAGCAGCTACAGCAGCAACAGCAACAACAGCTACAGCCGCAGTTGCAGCAGCAACAACAGCATCAACAATATCAGCAGCAGAAGTATCAGCATCAACAAAATCAGCAGCAACAATACCATCAGCAACAGTATCAGCAACAGCAATATCAGCAGCGACAATATCAGCTGCAGCAGCAACAACAATATCAGCAACAGCAGCAGAAGCAGCCGGCATCGCGCGTCCTCTACAAGCCGCGCACTGTGCAGGAGGCGGCCAAGTTCTCAATCAAAATGCCAGCCGGGGGCGGAGGGGTCAAAGTGCTGCCCAATTCCAGCTATGCGACGCAGCTGAAGATGCAGTCGCAGATGCGCGGCGCAGCTGGAGCAGTTGCTCAGCATCCGTACAAGGTGATGGTGGCCAATCCGCAGGACCGCTTCAGGAACGGGCAGAACCGAGTGTTTGTGCAGAACGGGAATCCAGCGGCCTTTCCCAAGACCCTCACGGACTTTATCAAGGCAAAGAGCAGCGTGGTCCCGGGCCAGAGCCAGATGCGTGGCCTCCTGCCCAACCACATGATGAAGCCGATGACCCAGATGAAGCTGCCCATGAAGGGCGATCTGCCCAATGTGCTGCGCGTGCCGCCGCAGCGCCGGGACCTGCCGCCGATGCAGGCGCCGCTCGAGGACGATGAGGTGGACTTCGAGGAGATCGGCGTGGCGGACACCTACTCCTCGTACTGGCCGAGCAAGCTGAAGGGCGGCTCGCGGCATCCCGATCCCGTGGTGGAGACTGCCACGCTGTCCTCCGTCGAGCTGCCGGACATCACGTACCAACTGGCCCTGCCGGACAAGCTCAAGAACTCGGACAGGCTGAGCGCGCTGCAGCTGGAGGCGGTGACCTATGCCTGCCAGGCGCACGAGCAGATGCTGCCCAGCGGCCAGCGAGCGGGCTTCCTGCTGGGCGACGGCGCTGGCGTCGGCAAGGGACGCACCGTGGCGGCCATCATCTACGAGAACTACTTGCGCGGACGGAAGCGTGCGCTCTGGATATCGGTGTCGAACGACCTGAAGTTCGACGCGGAGCGGATCTTGCAGGACATTGGGGCGAGCAAGCACCTCAAGGTTGCCTCGATGAGCAAGTTCAAGTACAGCCGCATCAGCTCCGAGGAGAACGACTCCTTCAAGCGCGGCGTCATCTTCTGCACCTACACCGCCCTCATCGGGGAGTCGGCGAACGCCAATCCCAAGTACAGCACGCGGCTGCGCCAGCTGATCAACTGGCTGGGCACCAACTTCGACGGGGTCATTGTGCTGGACGAGTGCCACAAGGCGAAGAACCTGAGCCTGATGAACGCTGGCAAGTCCACCAAGACGGGCACCACCGTGCTCGAGCTGCAGCAGCTGCTGCCGATGGCGCGGGTGGTTTACGCCTCGGCGACGGGCGCCTCGGAGCCTCGCAACATGGCGTACATGGTGCGCCTGGGGCTGTGGGGCCCCGGCACCTCCTACTCGGAGTTCTTCAAGTTTGTGAACACCGTGGAGAAGCGCGGCATTGGCGCCATGGAGATCGTGGCCATGGACATGAAGCTGAGGGGCTCGTATATCGCGCGTCAGCTGAGCTTCAAGGACGTCAGCTTTCGCATCGAGGAGGTGCCCATGTCGCGGGACTTCCACAAGCTCTACAACCACGCCGCCGAGCTGTGGGCCGAGATCAATGAGAAGTTCGTCAAGGCCTGTCGCCTCATGTGCATCGAGAACCGCGTCCAGAAGATAATCACCTGCCAGTTCTGGTCGGCTCACCAGCGATTCTTCAAGAACCTCTGCATCGCCTCGAAGGTGAACCATGTGGTCAAGATGGTGCGCGACGCGGCTCGCCAGGGCAAGGCAGTGGTCATTGGGCTGCAGTCGACGGGCGAGTCGCGCACCCTGGAGCACTTGGAGCTCTACCAGGGCGAGCTGACGGGCTTTGTGTCCACCGCGAAGATGATCATACAGTCGTTCGTGGAGAAATACTTTCCCGCACCCTCGCGTGAGGCGCTCTATAAGCTGCTAAGTACGGGCACCTTCGAGCCGGAGGGACGCGGGAAGAGCTCCGCCCCGAAGCGCAGTCGCATGATCCCCGAGTGGTCGGACGACGAAATGGAAGCGGAAGGGGGTGACAGCGACATGGAGATGTGCGACAACTGCTGGAACGGCGACGACGATGACGACGACCGCTTGAAGGCGGGACGCAAGCGTCGCGGCCGTCCGCCCAAGCCAGACAAGGGTAAGAATTCCAGCAGATCCGGGAACTGTCCTGCAACTCATACGCCCCTACTCCTTTCTCACAGTAGAGAAGATAACCATGCAGGACCGCATCCTGCAGCACCTATGCGACAACATGAATGCCAAGCATGACGACGACGACGATTCCAGCTGTGATTCGCCCAGGCCGCAGTCGGCCAAGATCACGGAGCGCGATGTCGAGCGCTGCATCACGGTGCGCGAGAAGCTGCTCGACAAGATCGAGCTCTTGGGCAAACGCATGCCGCCCAACACGCTGGACAAGATCATCTCCAAGCTGGGCACCAAAGTCGTGGCTGAGATGACGGGCAGGCGCGGACGGGTGATCAAAATGGACGACAACACCTATCGCTACGAGCAGCGCGGCGAGGCGGAGACGACCATGGACCTGGTCAACTACATGGAGAAGCAGCGCTTCATGGAGGACACCAAGCACGTGGCCATCATTTCAGAGGCGGCGTCCAGCGGCATCTCGCTGCAGAGCGACAGACGGCTGGCCATTCAGCGACGCCGGCTCCACATCACCTTGGAGCTGCCCTGGAGCGCGGACCGAGCCATACAGCAGTTCGGGCGCACGCATCGCTCAAACCAAGCGAATGCGCCCGAGTACGTCTTCCTGATCTCGGATCTGGGCGGGGAAAGTCGCTTCGCAGCGACTGTGGCCAAGCGGCTGGAGAGTCTTGGCGCGCTCACACAGGGCGATCGACGGGCCACCGATGCAAGGGATCTGTCCAAGTTCAACATTGACAACAACATCGGGCGCAGCGCCCTGGAGAGCGTCCTGCAGCAAATCACGGGCGAAAAGCCGCTGGAGGAGGTCCACGTTCCCGACACCTACAAGGGCGACTTCTGCTTCGACTGCTGCGTGGCGCTCTCTGGCGTGGGCATGCTGAGCGTCTCCGAGGACACCAAGGGTCATCAGATCTTTGTCATTGAGAAGGACAGCAACAACATACCCAAGTTCCTCAATCGCATACTCGGCTGCCGCGTCGAGGTGCAGAACGCCCTCTTCAAGTTCTTCCTCAACAAGATGTACTCGCTCATCCTACAAATGAAGCGCTCCGGTCACTTTGATCTCGGCATCCTGGACCTGGATGCGCACGGTGCCAATGTGACGGCCATCAAGCTGATACGCTTCGTCAGAAAACATGCCACGGGCACGGCGGCCACGGAGCTGCACACCATGCAGGTGGTGCGCGGCATGTCCTACGATCAGGCGCTGGCCAAGTAAGTGAACTAGATCTTCTCCCCCCCTTAGCCTGCTTCCTCTACTTTTCCTTTTAATGTAATCTCTTATACTCCATTGCTTTTCTCCTTCCTAGATACAAGAAAGAAGCACGCCAGGATCACGAGGGCTTCTATACTTTCAAGCAGGAGCGCAACAATAACAATTGCGCCATCCTCTGCCTGAATGCCCAGCCGGACCAAAGCGAGACCACCGATCACAGCAAGCTGAACATGAAGATCTATCGGCCCAACACGGGGCCCCAGGTGCGCACCGAGACGCTCAGCTCGATCAGCAATCGCTACGTGAAGGCCTCGCCCGAGGCAGTGCAGCAGTTCTGGGACATGCAGTACAATCAGTGCCTGCGCGTGTGCTCCCACATCTACTGGCACCGCCGCTGCCCCTTCGGCATCAAGTGCGGGGTGGGTCTCCGGGTGCGCACCTACCACGTGCTCTCGGGCCTAATGCTGCCCATCTGGGATCGCATAGCGCTGATCATCGAGAAGGACGGCCGCAAGATCCAAATGATACGCGTGAAGACCGACGAGAACAAGAAGATCGTCGGAACTGTCGTGCCCGAGGGAGTTTACCATCAGCTGGTGGCCGACCTCTCGTCCGATTCCTTAGTCGAGAGCAGGGACCTCAGCGTCCAAAAGGAGGAATAAGCCTCAACTTTTCATTCCACTTCGACTACTTCAATTAGGAATTTGTTAGAACTGATCCTTCAGCAAGGAAATCCTTACTCTAGAGGGTTTATGTGTGGTCTCTTACTCAGCTAAGCAGACTCTAAGACATTCCACATTTCTGCTCTTTAATACTTTTATTTTTTGCTTTTCATATAATTTTTTTTTTATTTTTTTTTATTTTTTTTTGAATTGAAAGTTGGAAAACTCACAAGACATAATGAAACTTATAAAGTAGTTTATAATTTAATTAGCGTTTGCCAAATAAGAATCTAAACATAGTCTAATTAGCTGCGCAATGCTGCGTTCCGCTTTAGATACAAATTCTGTTCCCATCTCTTGCTTTTATCTTTCTAGTTTAGATATATTTCTGTTTCGGTTTTCGTATGCTTTTGTAAAGTTTAGAATTTATCCTATTAATATAATAGACATAAAACTGATTAAATAGAGCGTTAGGTGGACAATAGGTGTTTGCCAAGGCTCGCGAGCTGTTTGTATAACTTTGATTTGCGTATAAAAATAGAAACTCTAATTCTCAACTGGTTTCGGCGCCCCATAGGTTGCTTGGCGTTAGCTTCTGGTTTGCTATGTGGCCTGGTGCTCGATAGGCAGGACGCTGTCTCCTGCAGTCTCAGTGTCTGCTCCTCCCACGTCTTTAGACGTTTCGCTGTCTTCGTGATGAGCCCATTCGTTGCGCTGGGTCTCTTCTTAGGCACTTTACGTGTTTTACAAACAGAAAAGTTGACCAAAAATAATCGCAATTGAAATGTTTTCCTCTTTAACGGTATTCCTAATAACTGGAGTTCGTGTCATGCCTTACAAATGTTACTCTGATATGTGGGCGGGTTCCATGCACCCAACAGTATCGTTCTCTAAGTACGTTTACGAATATATATGATTCCTTTTGCCACGATCTGTCATGGTCTTTTGATCTGCTGATCTGCTCTCCTCCTCCTGCTCCTACTCCTTCTAATTGCTAAAGTTGAGCTTAAACTTGTTTTCGCACTTAATTTTAAAGGCTTTCTCGTAAAAAAATCTATAAATGTTTGCAAGAACCGCAATCGAACTCTTAAGATAACTATAAGAAACGATCCATGAAATCAAAATCTATGTAGGGTATATCTTAAGCATAACTCGCGTTGTTTTCCACTTCAATTAAACATTTAAAAAAAAATAAGAAATTAAGTGCCTCCGCTTCCATAAAAGACAAACAAACACACACAAAAAATGTTTATATGCAAATTGCTTCAAAGCGCGCACGCAAACCGCGCACGAGTCGCGCATGAATCGCGCGCAAAACGCGCCTGAGTCGCCTCGTCGCGCGAGGTCGACTGCAAATCGGGATCTGTATACATATCTATATATTGCCCGAGTGGCACCTAACTGGCTGTTAGATTGCTTAACGATACTCGTCTTAAGTAAATATTTTGTTGCCTACATAAAAACGCGCGCGCGTTTTGTGAATCGCGCGCGACTTGCATCGCTCAAATTGGAGGCGGGCCACGTATATAGCGCAACTGGGGCGTGAAACTCATCGACAGATTGTTCAGATTATCGCAGCAATTGGGCTGCATCATGCACGCAGCGCAGAAGAACGTGAACAGCGCCAGCTGCATGGGCACAGCAGCACGCGCGATGCGCCACGCCCAGCCGCGAGGCTTCGCCTTGGCGGCGGCATCATCCTCATCCTCAGAGCTGTCCAGCATGGTGGCTGGGTCCTCGGGCGGCTCATCCCCACCGCCGCCTGCGGCGACAATGCGCTGCAGTTGCTCCACAACCTGTAGCTCCTGGTCCTTGCGCAGCGGCTGCTTTTCCTGCTTCTCGCCAGCTGGACGAGGTTTGCGTCCGTTGCGACGTTTGGGCGACTGATTGGCCGACTTGACTGCCAGCTGCTTGGCATGTCCATTCGCAAGAGGCTGCTTCTGCTCCTCATGCTCCCTTTGCTCCTTCTGCTCCTTTAGCTTCTCCTGCTGCTTCTGCTGGTGCGAGGCAGCTGTGCGCACAATCAAGTCTCTGCACGTATTCTGCAGCTGCTTCAGCTCCGCCTCGGCGCTCTCCATGCGCTCAGCAATGGAACGCATTGCGGCGCTGCCTGGCGCTAGGGCCAGCTCCAGCTGCTTGGCCAGGCGACGCAGTACACCCAGACGGCGTTCGCGCTCGGACAGGCCGCCATCGGAGGTGGCGCCGCCGTCCGAGATGCCCGAGTCGGACAGCGAGCCATTGGAGGCTGTGAACTTGGCAATGTGATAGATGTGATTGGGATCCAGGTGCTGCTGCACGGCGAGCAGCTGCTCCTGGCTGACGTTGACCTTCTCCGAGAGCAGCTTGGCCACCAGCTTGACATTCTGTGCCAGCTCCACGGGCGTCGCCTGTCCCTTGTCCAGGGCGCCCTCCAGGCCCTTGAGTGTGCCGCGGTCCTGGCCAAGCGCCAGCTGGAACTCGCTCAAGCCGCACTCCAGCTGCCGCCAGGCAATCAGTGAATTCGTGAGCATCTCCAGCTGAGAGTTGATTCTGGAATGGGAAAGCAGAGGATTAGTCAATAAAAGTTCATCCATTTCTATTTGGTTCACTCACCTGGCATCTGCCTCATCCCAGGCGCTGTACATGTCGCTGACCTCGTCCTTGAGGTGCTTGTGGAACTCCTGCTCGGCGCTGATCAGGCTGGACACGTCGCAGGTGCCAGTGGAGGCCTCCACCACCTGGTTGCCATTGCTGTCCGTTACGGTGATGGCCACACCCGCCTCCTGCTCCAGCTCGAGCTGCTGCTCCTCCTGCTGCTGCTGCTGCTGCTGCTGCTGCTGCTGCAACTGCAGCTTCTTCTCTTTCTGTTGAAGTTGTTCGGACTCCTGTTGCAGCTGCTCCTGCTGCAGACGCCGCTCCTGGCGAGTCAGCCAGCTGTGCACGGAGGCATTCAGGCGCAGCATATTGGTGCGATAGCTGCTCAGCTGTGTCTGATCGTGCTGCAAGTGCAAGTTGGTTATATCTACGATCCGCTGAAGCTGCGGCAAGGCAACTCGAACTCACCTTCAAGGCCTCAATGGCCACCTGTATGGCCGGCTCTGTGTCGAGCAGCTCCGGCGTGGACGGATCGCCAAGACGGCGCAGCGTGTGCTTCAGTGCGCTCATCTCCTGCTGCAGCTTGCGTGCGCTGGCTGCATTCTCGCTCCAGTTAAGCAAATCCTCCCAGTTGGCCAACAAATCTGCAAGCCAAAAGAAAATCACAGCGAGTTAATGGTGCAAGCCAAACTTAATTGGAGAAAGCCAAAAACTATCGATAATTGGCGCAATTTGAATTCGGATTTGGATTTTGTTTGTGGGTTTTACAGCCCTTTGAAACTTTGAGACGAAACCTTTCCATTTCCCCTCTCTCTCTGTCTCTCTGTCTCTCTCTCTCTCTCCATCTGTGAAATGTAAAGTGAAACTTTTGTTTGTTTGCAGAGCCACACGAAAATGATAAACGCTACAAAACAATAAACATTTGGCACTAAGTGCGCCAGAGTGGAACAGTCGAGGGGAATAATTTCTCTGTATATATAACATTTGTGTGTGTGTGTGTGAATGAGTGTGTGTATGTGTCAGATTGAGAGTGTGTGGGAGGAAAGACAGCGCCTATTTTTGCAACTGCAGCAACAGGCGACGCCTCATAGAATAGAAGTCTCCGCATACCCTATAGTCTGTTGATAAAGCGGGCATATAAACTTTTGAGAGCAATGTGTGTTTAGCAGAAAAGAGAGCAGAGCACAGAGTGAAGGAATCAATATTGAACTAAAGCCACTGAGCTTGAAGAGTTGTAGAAGATTTCCACTGATAGATCAAGCTTGATGACATGATTCAGAAGGATTTGGTATACTTATAGAGAAGTGTACCAAATTCGAAAGCAATTTATGTAGGGTATCGTCTAGTCACAATTGTCAACAGTATGAGCATTAGCAATGCGTGGGCAGCAGACCTAAACTTGACAATAACTTCAAGGCAGGCGCTGGGCGAACTGGATTTGTCAGACTCTCTGGGAGTGTGTGGAAGGTAAAAAGGTTTGCCAGAACTCACCCAAACGAAATAGCTAATTTAGATAAACTCTATTACTAGCAATAGATTAGCAGTTAGTCTGTATTAATGCCAAGACTATCAACCGACTCGTGGCAAGGCTGCGGCCCAACTGATCGCTTAACTGAGTTGTGCGAGCACATCAGCGAGCCAATTACTTTCACCCAGCAGGTGGATGGCACCTGGCCACAGGTTGAGGCTTATCTGCAGCTTGAGCTGGGCTTGAGGCTGCTTTTAATGCGATATTAAACGCACACACTCTTGATTGTCAGGCACTTCACGTACTACGCAACGCAACCCAACGCAATGCACGCACTTTGGAACAGGAGCAGCTCCGGCAGCACACGAAACCGAACTTGTTGGCAGTCGAGCTCAAACTGGTTGACTGAACTTGAGTGTGCGGCGCGCGAGCTGTCTGCCTGAGTGCAGCGCGCCAAGCCCGCCGCCACGGAGCAGCTCGAGCGCAGCAAAACGATCGAGCAACCAGTGCACAGTGGGACGAGCATGGCGAAAAGCGATAGACAAGCAAACTATGGTAAACTAAATAGTGTTAAATAATCAGCAGAGAGAAGCTTTCTGATAGATAACTGATAAAAGTTATCGATAACTGCAATGTGTTGATGTCATGAAAAGCGATATACTGAATAGAGTTTTAGATAATCAATGGAAGGAATAATCTTGATTGGTCAAACAGGTGACTGATAGTAATCGATAGGTGTTATCGATAACTGCACTATAAAGGATAATATAAATCAATAACAAATTCAGTCAGCCACTAATAATAATCTCCATTTATAGTATCATGCTAACTATTAATCGCCTCAGAAACTATCGTTATCGATAACACTGCAGCTTCATAGATAACACATTTATAGTTTAGGCTTTTGCTATACACTACATGTTTAGATCAAATTTCGACAATTTTAGCCCACTGTGCAGCTTTTCAATTTCCTCGCAGTAACTTGCCCAGTTTTATCTCTCTCGAGTCCAATTGATAGCCGTGGCGGTGCGTGGCAGAGGATGTCCACCTCGGTAGGCTACGCACTTTGCAAGCAGGCGAAAACTCGTAATCTTAAGCGGATTGCACAACTCGCAGCCTCTGCTCGGGGTGAGGGCTTTGCACCTGCTGCCAGGTGGGGCGTTGGCCGGGCCAACTAGGCATTATCAGGCAACAGCCCGTGCCGCTGCCATGATTTGCACACTTAGACTGCAAAAGGGGCGTGGCAGCGGCAGGTGGTCGGGGTGGAGCCCCCATCTATCTACACAGTGAAAAGCTCGATCATCGCAATAGCTCCCAGTGGAAATTAATAATCTGCGCAGCTGGATAAACGCTTAAAGAGTGCTCATAAAATTGATTAGCAATTGGCAGCACTGGAAATTGCTGAAAACTTTCACTTTAATCAACAATTAGTGCTATAATTGCCAATTGGCAATTGCCAATTGGAATTTCATTTAAATTTGAATTCTAATACGAAAACTCTTCCCTCTGCCAGCTGAGCTGAGCTTAGCGAATCTCTGTTTAATTTCCTCAGTTTCTTTTTCTGCTTTTTGCTGACTTTGCCAAGTGAAATTTGTGTTTGCATTTCGTCACGCTGCGAAAATGGTTTAAGAAAGCAAAAAACCTGAGAGAAACATGCAAATGCAACTGCAACTGCAACCACAAAATGCAATCCAAGGGCATTGACGCCCACAAAAACTTGGCAAAAAACACAAAAATAACAGAAATGCAAATTATATTTGTACAGCAAATTCACATTCTTGCGAAATGTTTAACGTGGGCGTTGCTCTCGAGGAGGTGTGGACAAGTGTGTGCATAGGTGTAGGTGTGAATATATATTAAGTCAAATGCAGCTGGCGGGAAATCTAATAAGCAAAAACTTTCTAAACACTCTTGCAATGATCTTAGGTGTTCTCTCTAACTGACTTAACCTCTTCTCTCTCTCTCTCTCTCTCTCTCTTTATCCTCTATCTGCAACTTTTAGTAATCTCCTCTTTCCACATACTATAATAAAAGGACTTTGTCAAAGATATACATCCTATAAGTCTGTCTCTATCTCCTACAAAGCCCCTTGCTCTCACTCTCCCTCCGCTTGTCACTCTATCTCTCACTCTCTCTCTCTATAGATTATATAGCTTATATCTGACTATTCCTAAATTTTACTTTCTTCTATTATGGTTCGTCTCTTCCTCTCTTTCATACCTTTAGTCTTTTTCTCCGTAAGAGACAGAAGTTGTTCAAAAAAGATATGCAAATTTCAATGGGCAATACAATCATCCATATAAAAGTAGTCAACTAGTATTCTACCTCTACCCCGCATTCGCTCTTTCTTTGTCTCTCTGCACTATACAGCAGCTGTCGTTGTAAACATCTACAAATAGATACATTCTGTCTAAATTTGTATATATTTCGCAAGTAAACAAAATATGACGAATTCATGAGTGCCTGAAAGTCTAGTCAACACCTGCAAAGGCTTGCCAACTGTTTAATACTCTTCACATCTTCATATTATATCACATCTACTCTTTTTATTACTCGCTAAAGGTTATTGCTTTTACCTTTGGGCATGTCTGGACTAGGCACAAATACAATAATCAAACCTTCCACGCCATGCGCAACTACTTCCAACTCTCTTTTCTTATATTATTTTTAACCATTTACCCAAATGCCTGCCAAGTTACCCAAGACCTATGCCTGAAATGGGCACAAGGACTCGGCTGCGTGACAAGGATCCATAAAGCGAAGCGAAATGCGACAAATGGCAGGGAAAGGTGTGGCAGGCAGAGAAGGCGGTGCCCATGGGCCAACCGACACGATTCTTGTCTTCAGCGGCAACGAAAACATATTTATTTAGTAATAGTAATAGCAATAGAGTCGAAGATGAGCGAAGAAACAGGGTTGCCAGCATAGCCCAAAGGTAAAGCACCCAAGCAAAGCTTCGCGCATATTTGTCCACAGATATTCTTGAATAATTATGTGAAGCAAACAGCCGAAAGGTAAACGATGACAACAATTATATATAATTATCAATATATTTTTGAAAACGTAGCCGAAAATGAACAACATAAATGCTGTTCTGGCTTTTTTAAAGCTGATTAGCGAGTGGAGCGACTCATGAATCGAAAGAGATAATGCGATTAGCATGAAGCCGCGAAAACTTGCCGATGAAACTGTGAAAGTCGTTAGCTGCCGCTGCGGCTACTTAGCAGCAAATGTTAATTACTATTTTAAGCAGCAATTAATTTTAAAATAGTTGTATTTATGGCTACTAATTAAAGAGCAACGTAAATTGAGCATTTAGGCGCTCATTTTTGCATTTCAATTAAAAGTTTTCCTTCTGAATATCTCTCCATTTCCTTCTTTCTCTTACTCTTCCTTACTCTTTGTAATGCTATGTGGTTTTAGCTCTTCTATTCCCCTATTCTTCTCTCTGTCCTTCGATCCCTATGCATTTTCCTTTGCTAACAGTCTCTGCCTCGTTGTCTCTCTTTCCATATCCCTCTCATTTTCGACGCTCTGGCAACACTGGATGCAAGAGTTACCATTTGTCATTTTCCGCTTGAGTGCAGAGTGTTTTTGGGTAGGAAACACGCCCCGAAGACAAACGAAGTGAATGCAATTTGTTTTCTGATGTCAATTGCATGTGGGAAGGTGTGTTAGCTCACCTCAAACTCTGCTGCAGCAGCAGCAGCAGCAGCAGTAACCGCATAGATATGAAATTGCAAACCATTTATCATATTGTAATTTCAATTTCGATTTCAATGCGGTACGATTTCAGTTTTCAATGACTTAACAATTCCCAGCAAATTGAAGGTCAACCGCAAATGGGGCCAAAGCAAAAAAAAATAAAGATCGAAAGAAAAAAACATTTTTGATTCTTATAATTAATGGATAGAATGACGCCAGACTTTTGCCTTATATAAACAAATGCACATATATATACATATTTTGTTTTTCATCATCCATTTTGACCCACGTTGAACCTAGGTTCCGGTTTCTGCCATTGCCTCAGCTTGGGTTCAACGTATTTCCCACTCTCCATAACTGAAAAATAAAACATCAAAGCGGAACGCCAACAATTGACCATAAAAGAGCCCACTGTAGAGGAGTACCGTTAATGAGTGTATGAGTGTGTGTGTGTGTCAAGCTGAGCGTGAATAAGAGGAAGAGCCAGGGTAGCGTAGCTTGGCTAAATTGTTTGGGCCATAAAGCTCGATGGCCATAATGCAATGCCCTATAAAAGAAAAAAAACTGCAATTGCAATGACTTTGATGCAATCAATCATTTGCCCATAGAGAAGTTTATGGCTGACAGCGATGTTTAATTAGCCATGCCAGTCGAGCAGCGGCCAACCCGATTTGGCAGCAAATGTGGCATGCAGCAGGCAGCATGTGGCATATGTGGCAAAGACAACAGGTGGCTAAAGTCGGTCAGCAGAAGATGAAGAAGCAGCAGCAGAGAAAAATCTAGCACAAACGGTTTTCCTCAACTGCTTTTCTTTTGCAGATGAATCAACCTAAGAATGAGCTAAAGAGTCTCCGACGTAGCCAAAGATGTGGAACAACATTTGAATTGAGAAGAGTGGAGGGGAAATTGAGGAGAACAAAGAGGAATATTCCAATGGGGTTACATAACACTCGCTGCCCTCTATGATAAACATGTAAGACTTTTATTATCTCATAAGCGTTTTTTATGTTCGCATTATTCAAATAGCTCTTTAAGCACTTTGTGCTCTGCTTTGTGTTTCAGTGTAGTCTGATTGGATTTTGAAACAAACATTCTCCACTTAGCATTATCGACTTATGTGGACTATGCATGCATGGGCACAGTCAAGTTCAAGCAATGAGCTCAACCAAAGGCAAATTTTAAAATTCTGAGAAACAAGATAATATATGAATTCACTGAGCAGAAACTTGAACTTAATGGCAAATAGCTTAATTAATATAACATGAAATGTATTAATCATCTTTAGCTTTCAATTTATGTGCAGCTAATTGGAGACTTTTTCATATGACATAGAAGAAAAATCTTGTAACTCCATTAATTAAGCCTCTTGACTGATTTAAGCACAGCGAGCATAACGGTTAGCCCCAAATTACAACAGTTTTTCTATGCGGTCCATGCATAATGCATAAGCTTAATAGGCTTTTAATTTAGCCACTACTGGCAGTCCCTCTGCTCTGGCCTTGCCTCTGCCCCCGCCCCTGCCCCTCCCACTTGTTTACTTATTTCACTTTCGTCAGCCGCAGTTAGTTACCAATTAGTCTGCTCTAACGTCTGTTGCTTATCTGCGATCTGTGTGTTTTCTCTGTATCTTCTTCTTCTTCTCTAAAACATCATTTACACCTGTTTGCAGTTATGTGCGATAAGTTTTCCCTTTGTTTGGAGTCTGTTGGCTTTAGCATGGGAGACATCTGCGTCGCCCTCTTCTGCGCTCTCTGTGCACATAACGGTATTTACCTTGCTCCGACGAACAGCGCGACGTGGAGGCCGATGAGCTGGCCGACAGCATGCCACATATATCCGTTTGCACAGCGACATTTATTTTGGACATGATTGTCGCCAGCTGAGCTCGCTCTAGCACTAGCACTCTCTATTGTGCGCTCTCGCTCGCTCCTACTAACTCCTGGCCACCCTTTGCAGTGACCCACTTAAGGTTGCTCGCACAGCCGGCTCTTTTGTACGCCAGGCGGCGCCACTTGAAATCAATTTTCGAAATTAATTTGCGTTTTAAACATTTCAATTGATTGTTTACTGTGGAGCGCGGGGCGTTGCTTTGTTGAAGATTTGTTTACACGCTGTGCGCTGACCTCGAAAAGTTGGGAAACTCGTCGAGTAAACAAAAAGAACACTGAAAATGCCAATGCCAAGCACACGATGCGCTCTTATAATGCACTCTTATACACTCTTATACACAGGGCAAACACGCAAAACACGCGACTTTCATGAATGGGTGGCAAATATTTGGTGAGAATTATTGAAATTTTGAGATTTTTAGTTGTTGTTGCTATCACAGTTGAATTTATTATTTAGTTTAATGGATATGAGATTTTCGTTTTGTAGAAAAACAGTTGTGCGAGTTCTTAAAGCGCGCGGAAGCACAGTAAATTACAGTTGAAAGTAAATACAACAAAGTCGCAGGCGAACACGAAGACGACGACGACGATGACGACGGAAGCAGAACCGCTTGGAACGCACGCTGAAAATGAACTGAGACGGCGATGTTTCAATCGTTTTTGGCGCAGCAGCTTTCAGGTAGACGACGAAAAAGCGAACGAAGGAGAGAAGTAGAGAAGGTGGAGATGAAGAGAGAGGCAAACGACTGAGCGCACAGCGGTAAACTTTTGAACTCGGCTTCACACATGCTTGTGTATGCGTGTATGCTCTGCTTATGCATATTGAAACACATACTTATAAATGCATACGTATGTGTGCGTGCGCATGCGTCAATATGTATGCAGAGAGCGACGACGTCATTTTCAAAAAAACAGATGATACGTTATGATAGCAGCTACAACAATAGCAAGTGACGGCGACAAAACAGCTACACACACATACATACAGAAGCTACGAGCTACAGTTGGAGAGTCACAGTCAAAGTATAATACTTCAGATTCAAGACGCCACCTAGCGCCCTTTGTTATTAATTACCTACATAAATTCATTGGCTTTACAGTTTTCGAGCTGTTGGCATTATTTCAACATTTTTTTCAATAAATTAAGCAAAATGACGTCAGCTGTCAACGTGAAATTCTGCTCTTGGTGAGGGTCAAAGCAGCGTTTGATCTTAATGCGCATAATTCTAAGCAAATTTATCACAAACTAAATATGTATATAAATATCTCTATTGCTAGTCAGTTTGAGAGGCATGCATAATACTAAGAGACTGCATAGCTTAGCACAGTCGCTCCACAACTGTAAAGGGCTGTCTTATATGCTAAATAAATGTACTTTCGAGTATAAGAGTGCGTGTGGCCCATAAACCGCTATTTGTGCGACAATTCGAATACAATTAGTTAAGATCAAAGGAAAATTAAACTAAAAATTAATTTTGGTTAAACATTTGACAAAAACACAAGCATAAACGAAACAATTACACCAAATTAATATTAATTTTAAATATGTATATATAAATATATGAATAATCTAGACGTAAGGTACAGCAGACTAGAACAGTTTGAAATGCATTGGTGTTTCTTTTTCTTCATATAAAAATGATTAGTTTTTATTTGCCAAAAAATTATGCAAAATAATAAATATTTTGTTCATTTTAAATTAGATTAAAACAAATGCAAATTAAATTCGATGCAAAATGCGTTTTGTCAAATGCAAAAACAAAATTTTTCCAAAAAAAAAATTTACAAAAAAATAATGTAAAAAAATAATAATAAAAATAATCATAATAATAATAATACACAATTCATTCGCTTGGCAAAAGTTTGATAAGGCACAGGGCAGGTTTGAGAGCAACTGGTCGCTCATTTCTTAGCTCTTAGAGCAGCCCCCGAAACCCAGCGAAGAGACGCTCCAGCCGCCCCATGGGCCGATTGACCAGCGCATAGAGCGTCCGCAGCGTCCCGGCCAGAAATCGATAGAGCGTGAAGTGCTCCAGCAAATTGCCAACATCCAAAACAAAGTCAATCAATCGGGCCACAAATCGCGTTATGGGCGCACACTTGCACTCGACTATGGGCATGGGCGTGGCAGCAGCAGCAGCACCGGCAGCGGCAGTAACAGCACTTTGATGTCCAGTTGCAGTTGCAGTTGCGATTAGCCGACAGCCTGGCGGCAAGGACTCACCTTTTGTCTGGCCGGCGCACTGAGTCGATAGCACTGTGCCAGGCGGACCCCGCAGCACAGCCTCCAAGCAGCGAATGTTGTCACGGCAAGTGTTTATGATCTCGTTCTGGATGGGAGAGAGAGAAGGGGAGAGAAACATGAGTAAAGCTTGATTGGAGAGTAGAAGATCTCCTAGTTGATATATGAGCTAATGAGAATTAGTCGAAAGATGTTCGAATCATCATAGAAATCTCATTTCGTTATTTACCTATATTCCATATAAACTTAATCCTTTTAGACATTAGAAGTTCTTTCGAAGACCCTTTCTAGTTAGAGTTCAATGAGCAACTGAATAAGTTTTGCATTTGCATATGTCAATTCCATTATGAAAGGGGTATCTATAATGATTCTATGAACTCTATATCTCTACATCATATAGCTTTCTTTTACAGTCTATATCACACACATAAACCTCATCTATAATATTTCAATTCACATCGCCGACAATCAAAAAGAGCTGCCTCTTTGCGCTTAGTCATATAAATATACAAATTTAGTCCAAGGTAAATAAAACTATTTTCACAGAATACTGCAGGTGCTTTGAGTCCCCAGCCTGCTTCTCAAATCTACTGCTCTCTTTATATATAAATCTCTTCTCGTTCCCTGCGTTCAACTTACATAATCCTCTGGTCTCAGCAGATGACAGCGTATCTTGAGGGCGCGCGTATCCTCAAGTCTGTCCTTGCTCTGCTGCAGCAGCGAGCGCATCTCCTGCTCGCCATCCTCGGAGTCATCGCCGCTGGACGAGGACGTGGCCGGAATGACCTTGATGCACTTCTCCAGGTTGCGGGAGGAGCGTCGGCGCTCATCCGCCGTCACAGTGCGGCGGCGTCGGGTCGAGGTGTCGCTCTCCGAGGTGCGGCGCAGCAGCGATTGAGCCGAGTGGCTCATCGAGCCACCGAACTCCAGTTTGCGACCCACCGAATCGGTGCGAGCGGGCAGCTGAGCCGACGCAGAGTTCTTGGGCGTCATCAGCGCCGTGGCCGAGGAGGAGAGATTTGCATTGGTTGCCTGGTGCTGGTCCCGTTGCTGCTGCAGCTGCTCCTGCTGGGAGCCGATAGCATCGGCCATGTCTGCAATAGGCGAGAGCATTAGAGTTTGATGTGCCGAGAAATATACCCTGTAGGTGCACCTACCCTGACAGGACTTGCGTCGCACTTCGAGCGTCTTGCGACGTCGCTCGTACTGCAGCTCGAGGGCGCGCTGGCGACGCGCGTGGTCGACGCTGCTGCTGATTGTCTCCTGGTTGATGTGCAGCGCCTTCAGCTCGTGCTGCTGCAGCGAGTCCATGCGCGGAGGCGAAAACGAGTCCAAGTTGTTGGCAGCCGACAGCGAACTGCAGCAGTCCGACTGCGAGTCGATGAAATTGCTAGAAGACCACAAATCAAATCGAAATTATTGCACAAAATCACATATGAGATGTGTGTATGCACAGTCTATAAATAGAGCTTGGCTACCCACCGATAGTCGTCCCCGAATTCCAACAGACGACGCGCTGCATCCGAGTCCAAGCCCTCCGAGTAGTTCTCCGAGTTGTATTTCTCTTGGTAGTTGTCCCACGCAGTCTCCGAGATGCTGCTGTGGTGCTCCTCAGTGCTCAGCTCTGTCGGGAGATGCAAAAGTAAATCAGTATATATATTCGGTATCAGTTCTACAGGGTATACAAGGGGTCGTTTCGGGTGCAGTTTGCGGTACCTTTTGGCCTGGGTGCGAGCGTGCGAGCTTGCGTAAGAGAAACGTATACAATAGATAGACAGAAAAGTATTTTAAGAGCTGAGTATGTGCGCGCCCATTGAATGCTATTGAAACGATTTAGAATGGGCATTAAGGCAATATATATACATATATATTAATGAATGAAAATATATGAAGGCTAACTGTGTCTGTCTTATCGAATAGCGGCAATTCATTAAAGCTTAACTAGCTCTAATCTGAAACGTTGCGATGCTAACTTGGCTCACAGCTTCAACTGTGATAGCTCTACTCCAATCACTCCTGAGCTTTATCTAAAGGCTGTATAAAAACACATACAGATCTATATTTTCACATAAAATTCTGTATTTTATATATTATATTCATTGATAAGCAGCAAAATACTCGTTCATACATTCATTTCCTCAAACTCTATAAATTTTAAGGTCTTTACTTGCTCTTTTAGCATGTCAGTTCTGATAGTGAATAATATCTTATCGTTTACTACTCAAATGTTATATATATATAAGCACCCTCAATATATAGAATCAAGAAATGATATCTGTAGCTCAAAGTACCCGGCCAGACACAGCTAATATTCCGATTTGATATGGTTTATAGAGATATGTCTAACGAATAGTAAAGACCGTAATTTTAATGTGATTGAAATATCATCCAAATACTAGGAACAGAGTTCTATAAAACTAAGAAATCAAAACTTTCTGTTTATGTAAAAAAATGTATAAGTACTTTATATCATTCCTTGATATGTGAATTGACGAAAAATACAGTCTAAGAGGACCCATACAATATCAGATATCTGCCTACATAAACTCTTCTGTTTCTGCTTTATTATATCTATGTATATTTCATTTCCCAAACATCAACTGTTATACGTGACACATGTCAGGAACAAATTTGAACAGCCCTATAGCTGCGATAAGTCCAAACTGCATGAGCTATATATCGCATATAAACCACTCCATCGTTTCAGTAGTATTCAAGCGCTTTTTAGTGTTAAAGAGATAACCGCTCGATTGAGTCCCACCCCTGCGCAGCCACTCACCTGCTTGCTGCTCATCCTCGTGCATGTAGTTGGAGAGGGCGGCGAGTGCGCCCAGGCGAATCTCGCTGGCCCTTAGGGCGGCTGTGGTGAAGGAGCCGACGCGGAATTTGGGCACCATCAGCTGCGACTCCGAGTCGGCCTCGGGCGCGGGCTCGTCCTTGGTGGGACTGACCTTCTGTATGCTCAGCAGCGCATTCGTGAACTCCTGCAGCTGCTGCGAGGACATCGACTCGCAAGACTTCATCAGCGTTTGGGTCAGGTCTCCGGGTGCCTCCGAGCCCGAGTCGGACTTCTTGCCCGCCGAGGCGGCGGACATGCGCTTCTTGCGTGCCCTGCGGCGACGCAGCGAGCCCTTGCTGTCCGCCTTCCTGGCCGCATTGCTGCCCGTGCCCGAGGAGGAGGCGGTGCGTGCACGCGGACCTGGCGACAGCGAGTCCAGGGCGCTCTCGCTAATCGAGTGACTGGCCAGGCCCGTGCCAGGCGAGCTCTGGCCGACGTCCGTGATGGCTGCGGTCAGCTGGGCGGCATCGGTGGTCAGCTGCGACAGGCAGGAGACGCTCCACGGACGCTCCGACTTGCGACGCGTCTGCGTGCGCTTCACGATCTTCACATTCAAGCTCTGATTGCTGCTGCCGAAGCCGAGCGGCGTGGCCGGCTGGTGGATGGGCTCGGCCGAGCCGCCAATGCGCTCCGTCGAATTGCCGTACGAGTTGGTGCTCGTCTGCATGCAGGTGGCAATGGAGTCGGTGAAGCCCTCCGAGGAGTCCGAGTTGGCCCCACACACAAGATTCGTCTGGGGCATGGAGTCCGTTTCGCTCGCCTCGCCCGAGGCCTCGCAGTCATCCGGCTTGATCGGCACCTCCAGATGATTGCGATTCAGCAGCTGGGGTGTGGAGGGCTGATGCTCCAGCCATTCCTGGAAAGAGTTTCAATTGACCCGATTAGACTCCATGTCGAGTTGAGCTATGCCATTCACCTACCTCGACGCGCTGCTTGATGGGTCCCGGCATTTGGAGTTCGCGTTTCTTGACCGTCGACGAGATTTTGATGATGGAATGTTTCTGCTTCGTTGGCGTCTTCAACGATGACTCCTGAGCGTCGCGCACCAAATGCTCCGCTTCGAGCACAAGCTGCTTGATTGAATCATGCGAGACCTTGCCCTAAACAAGAGAGAGAGAGAGAGCGGAAAGGGAGAGCGAGAGAGTTAGTTAATGAGCATAGCGAATTGCAGAGTGAAAGAAACAATTGAGTGTAAATTGAGGGCGTATGAGGAAGTGCAGCTAACAGCTTGACGAGCTGTAAAGCAGAGAAAGAGAGAGGGAGAGATGGGAGAGAGAGCGCACTATAGACTGTGAGGTTGTTGCCTTATCAGTGTGTTCTCCGAATTGCAGCAGCTAGTTTCATTGGGTTGATCTGGCCCATCGCTCACTCAGCTCGTTTCTCCGTTGCTATTCATTAGTGTTATTCATTGCATTCATTAGTACAGTCACTCACAGTCACTACACACTCACTCACTCGCTATATCACTGCTTATCTTCGATTTCTATTTGCATTTTCTTTCTTTTTTTAACACTCTTATCTGGTTGCTGTTGCTGTTCTGTCTTTGCGCCTCAATTAAGTGAATCAAGCTAGAATTTTGCTCAAGGCCTTGCCAAATTGTAATTATACCCGAAACTGATGTCACTATAAATACCCTGTAACTAATTCTAAATTGGATGAATGCGCAGTTGAGTCAGCTTTTCCCACTATACAATTATATGATTTATTTAAGCAGTCTTCGTTGTTATCGTTATAACATATCGATAACAAGCGTAAGAAGAGAAATGGGTTATGTACTTATTGTACTTAGACTTTGAAGAGAAATGTGTTATGTACTTATTTATTTAACTAGACTCTTTTTTGCTTCGTCATTTGATTTCTATTTGTTCCTAGCTATCAATTTTACTTTGTTATCGATCAATTAATTCCAAGTAATTTGTAAATTGTGAGAATGAGTTCAAAGTTGCATATCGTATCAATATGTTCGCCAAAATTTAATGCATATAAATTTAAACCTAACATTTGTGATTTATGTGGCTGCATTATCGATATACCGATAAGTAACACTCTTAGATAGCTTTCAAGCCAAGCAAATGCTTCTGATTTTGTAATACTAATATAATAATATACAATAATCTGCTTTAAAACGTTTCATTAATCAAACATCGGAATAGTCTCTAATTAATAGAAAATGACTATTGTAAAGAATCAAAGCTGTAGATCGATAACAGCTGTTGTCTTCAAATGTTCAGCCTTCAACACACAAAGAAACGTTGAGTAAACAAATCCAAAATGTAAATTTGACGAAATCTATTCGATTGCTCAACCAATTAGAACTTTGCAAGACAAAAATAGAAAAAAGCCAGCGAAGCGTTGATAATGTTTGAACACATTTTCAGGTATTTTGTTGTTGTTGTTGCCCAACTAACTCGAAAACAAAGGCAAATGTTCGCGTTAACCTTTTTACAAAGAGACATTAAAAGTAAATGTTTAATTGCTAATTGTTTAGGTGTGTGTCTGTCTGTGTGTGTGTGTGTGTTGCACAATTGAACAATTCCAAGGTAGATTTTATAGGTTGGCTTTCGGCTGACTAAAAGTGACTCAGTTCGAGTTTCAGATAGATATATATCCATACACACACACACACACACACACACACATAAATATCTCCATGTACATATTCACATTTGACAAGTTTATCTGGAGTCTTTTCGTATCACACTCTCTCGCACTGAAAGTCAAGCTGTGTGTCGTCTGTGTTGAACACACGCTTCAACTTTATTGCTAATCTTTTGGCTTAATTTAATTAACAGTTTCCTGTGGACAGGCCACTCCGAACAGTTTGAGCAGCACTGCGGCTGTCAAACTGCGCGCCGCGCTGCAAACGGAAACAATTTTTACCAAATGTGCAAATGCTGAACGTTTTACGGAGTTGCAGCAGCAACAGCAACGACAGCAACGACAGCAGCAACAGCTGCTGCAAGCGGCACTAAAAACCAAAACCAACAACAGCAACAGCAACAATTGAAAGGCCTCTGCGATTGGGCGTTTGCGATAATTAAAGGCAATTATATGGAGTTTGGCTTTTTGCTTAGCCATTGGCCAATTAAGCGAACAAACTGGAAACTTTGCTCACTTGGCTCAACTAATGCTGGCAGCTCTTGGGGAATCGAGACGCATGTAGTAAACGATAGTTAAACGATAGAGCGCAGTAGAGTCTGTAGAGATTCTAGGAACTGCTGTAGACTTAAGCTAAAGTCTTTAACTAAGCTTCTATTATTATGCTGACGATAGTTAAGCGGTAGCTGAGCGATAGTCTGTGCTGTAGTTGTAGAGTTTTCACATACTTTTTATTTCAGCTCTTAAATTTGTACGATAGTTCTTTACGGAGTTAAATAAGCTCAAGGAATTTTATTTTAATGAAAACCAATTACAGAAGCCAAAGTCAAGTCTCTGAATCACATTTAACTTGTATGCGATAGTGTGCGATTAGTAAACCGATAGTTTAACACACATCTGTGTCCTTCAATATATTTAATAATATAATTTGATGCACAAAACTTACTTAATTGATGCTCACAATTCTTTGCTTTGCACTCAGTCATAGTTGCTCACGCTGCCATCTCTAGGGCGGATTTAGTAAACACAGTGGCTGGCAAACTGTTGAAATGTCTGCAGACAGCTCAAGCTTAAAATTTTATTTTATTTTTGTGTTTTTTTAATGCTTTTTTTGGCAGCCTTGACAATCGTCGTTTGGCCAATTTAATTGCACTGCGGCACGCAGCTTGCAAATCGCGAAATTTAATCGCACAGTTTGACAAGCACTGCGCGCACTTAATTACACAAAAAAAGAAACACACGCACACACACACACACTCACAATTTGAAATGCAAATTACGCAAAAAATCAGACAACAAGTTAACAATAAAAACAATAACAATAACAATAACAATAACAATAACAATTGCAATTGTAGCTAAACTAATGCAGCTTAGCTTTGTGGCTTTCTATTGTTTTGTATCTTTTTGTAACAGTGTATCCATGCAATTGTATCTATTGTTGCTGTAGCTGTATCTGTATCTGTATCTGTAGCACAACCGGCGTCTATGACTCTGCGAAACGTACTGAAAGTTTTGCCAGCGAATATTTTAGCTGATAATGATTTTTGCACAGTGCAACGAGATTAGATAAAAAAGCTGTCGAAAAAATCTATCGAGGCGGTGTGATCGATCTGCGTGTGTCATCGATAACTGTGCAGCCTTTATTGCTCACAATTTCTAATGTGATTTTAGCTTTCTTTTAATTTTTGTCAACAACTCAATTCGAGCTGCTCGATGCGATAAGATTAGATTAGATTAGTTCGATTTTGGCGCAGTGTACGTCATTGATGTTCGCCTTTATCAGCCTGGGAGCTCGATTGCTTATCGAACATAAATTAAACCAATACAAATACATATATATATATATATATAAATGAATCTCAACTTGCGAAATTTGTCAATATTAATCAAAGCGTCGCGAATTTCACTCTCAATAAATCAACGCACGCAACGCACGCAGGGGAGGAAACTCTGGAGATGTCGCTGCCTGAGGGACAGTGAAAACAGTGCGTGCGATGGAGCTCGGGCTGAAGCTGGAGCTGAGACTGAGACTGAGACTGAGCAGAGCCATTGCCATTGCAATCGAGTTGTCAGCGACAAATGCAAATGACGCACACACACACACACACAGAGACGAGCAACATGTTGCTGATGTCTGGCCAAATAAAAGTGAGAGTTGAGCAGCAACAACAACAACAAGCAGACATTTGCCCATGTCCAGCCAGTTAATAATTGCTTCAATAACAACCAAAGAGCAGGCACACGACACATTATGAGAAGCGCAGAGAGAGGTGTTTATGGAGGGCTTGCTTTACGATGTAGTTGAGAAGCGCATAGAAGAGTCTTTATAGAGTGTTTGTTTGAAGGAAAATACAAGATTTACTCCAAGAGAGCAGCTCAACCAGCATGACAGTTAAATCGGTTCATAAAACTCGTGTGAAACAGCGCTGTAAAGTTCTAAAGCGGCTCGAAGCGGATGTCGATGCCCGGCTAGCACATGAAAGTAATGTTGCTTCAGGCTATAGTTGTTTGCTATAATTGCATATTTTACTTATGATAGTAAAAATTGATTGAGCTTCGTTAAAATTCAAAATATATTTGCAGTTTCCTCAATTATGATTTTTAGCTGCAAGAGTTCATTTTAATGGCCTTCAAGCGGGATTTAACTGATTTGTCATACTTAATCTGATAAGTCTCAGCAGTTGATATGGCAATGTGTTGGACTCTTTTGAATATTTGCACCATCATCTCTTATTAACTTTTAACTACTGCTTGATTGAAGTGAAGATTGGCTAGGAAACAAGATCGTAAAGAATTATATGATTAATGAAAGCAAGTAAGACTGTTCTGGTAGGGAATGACCCTGATTCATACGCAGATCTACTCAAATTCTTCTACACTTCTTCTTATGAGATCTTCCACGTCTTCTTCTGCCTTCTGTAATGATTTCCATGATTTCAGAAAACATTAATTAACTGCAATTTCCCCAATATATATTTCGCTACATTTCCAACTCGCTCAACCATAGCCATATAGCAGATATCAACAGCTGGCTTATTAACAAATTGTTTTGCCAATTTAGCAACTATTTCCGAGACATTTTCCACTTTGCTTTCATTTTGCCAAACACTTGCAACACGCGGCTGGCGGCTTTTTGATTTCCACCCGCTGATTTTCACAAAAATAACTTCGATGAGTCTCTCGAATTACAAAGATGATCGTTTACAGCCCATTACAGCGCGGCAACTTGTCATTGGACATGTTTGCTGGACATGTTTACCAGCAAATTGACACGAAAAAGCCACAAAAAGAGCTTAGAGAAATTCGAGGCGAATTCAGGCAGACACACGCACCACTGGACCACCGGACCGATAGTCGGACCACCAACAAAGTGGTTCAACTGTATCGATCGAATCGATCGCAGTCGCAGCTCGTGTGCATTTCAAGCGAAACTGAAACCATGAGAGCCCAACTCAACAACAACAACAGCAACAACAACATCAACAAAGAGGAGCCGTCGAACCGTTATACATAATGCCAGAGCAGAGCAGCGGCCCAGCTCAGCTCAGTTCAGCTCTCCCTCCAGGCTCTTAAGCGATCATGGTCACGGTTGTGCGAACGCGCGACACGCAATGTCTCCGACTCGGCGCAGCGCGGCTGCCACAACAAGATGACAAATTGCAAAGTACCGTGAATCTATATATTTCTCTCTTATAGTGTGTTGATGAAAGGGAAAACAGAGCGCACTCGAGTTGTGGGCAGTGTACACTGAGAGAAACTGAGTGCAAGTTGCAGTTACAAGGCGAGGAAGGAAAGAAACTTCAATCCAAGAAGAAGTTGTCTCCAGAAGAGAGAGGGACTCGATGAAGGGAAATGCGCAATAGAGTTGTGGGCAGGCTACACTGAGAGAAAATAGATTAACTTTATAGTTGTAGAAGATCAGAACTGAAATAAATGTAGATAGAAGCAGAAGTAGACTCCAGTTGCCTAGCTGTGGGGACTCTATGCTCTTCCTTGAGTTTTCACCATATCTCAACTTAATATAAATAAAAATTGCTTTGGTCAGCGTGCGACTTAGAGAAAGTTAACTAGAAGACATTCATTCCTCTAGTTGTGACACAAACGAAGCGCAGGAAGTATTTCCGCTTCCTTTACAGAGTTTTATAGCAATGACAAATGCTCAAGGGAGAGGGGAAGAGTCGAAGAAAGAAATAGAGATTGAGAGAGTTAGAATAAGCTCTCGACTTACCTTAGCGGGCGACATAGTTGCATTGCTGCTGCTCGCCTGCGATTTGCCGGACTTGGCCGACTTGGCGGGCGAGCGAGGCGGCAGGCGACTGCCTCCGTTCTGCTGGGCAGTTGGACTCGAGTTCCCATTGGTCATGTCGCTGGGCCAAACGCTGATGTTGCAGATGTCTGCGCGACTATAGAAACTGTTGCTGTTGTTGTTGTTGTTGTGGTTGTGGCAGAGCAGCTGTAAAGGTAACCAAAAAGTTGTTTTAATTAAGGTTGTCAGGCAAAGCGAATGCCTCTGTCCCATAATCAATCAGCTGGACGCAGAGCCATTTCCTGCTGCTGCTGCTGCTGCCTTTGCTTCGTGTTGCATGGCTCTATTACAATGTGCCTGCCACCAATATATCCATAAATCTGGCCCGATCGAACGTGTCCTCGTTGCAGCAGCAGCAGCAGCAGCACCGTCTGTCCTCAACCTCAACTGTCTCGCTGTGGACCCTTTCAATTGCACAAACTGCTTGCTAAGTTTCTTTTCCATCTATACCCTGTACTTATTGGAAATACAGACTTTGGGTGTATTGGATAATCTAAGTTAAGCTATAACAGAAAGAGAGACAGAGCAGCCACAATTCCTATTCATCATGAATACTTTACACTTTATGCAACAGAAGGGTATCTTTGCGCCAGTCACTCCCGACTGGAGCACTCGGTCGTCTTGAGTTGCCTTTGTTTCTTGATAGTTTTGTATGCCGCAATGAAGAAATAAATCACACGTTTTTAGTTAATTTCGTACTTTCCCATTTTTGACGTGCGCTGCTCAGTTTTTCCTGGACTATCGCCGGCTCTGACTGACTGACTGACTGTCCGTCCGTCCGTCTGTCTGCCTGCCTGCCTGCCTGTCTCTCTGCCTGGCTGGCTGGCTGACTGACTGACAGTCAGAGCAGCCCAGCAGCGGCGGCAGTCGGGAGTCGATAGTTGGGCATCAATTTTGAATGGCAGCTGCTGCCGGGACGGGAGTCGATCGCGCAGCGGCTGCATGATTCGCTTTCATTAACCCAACTGCTTAATCATCAGGTGCAGGGGCAAGCAGAAGGCAGCGCAGTAGGAAAAAGAGGCGGTAGCCATTTATTGAAAAGCTGCCTCTACTCACCCCTCCGCCCTAGTCGCCTCCTGTCCTGTCCCCCGCCCCGTTTAAACTACTCGCTTTTGGGCTAATGGCAAACAAAGTTGCAACCAACAACCAACAAAGCAGAAACTTTATTGACACAAGTCAACGATAGACAGAGAGAGAGAGAGAGAGAGAGGGAGAGGGAGAGACTCCACTTGGCAGACAGACAGCAAGTCAGCGATCGAATCGAAATCGAATGCAACTCAAACTCAAACTGCCGCGGAAAAGTCCGAGACTGTGGGAACCTGTGTGGCACGTTGCTGTTGCACACTTTGCTGCCTTTGGTCTGCTGCCTTCTGCCTTCTGCCTGCTGTCTGCGATTTGTGTTAGCGAATTTTGAAATTTTTGTGGTCTATACATAAATGGTTAGGGCATAACAACACTCGACACTCGAGTTCTCAGCCCAACTCAGCTCAGCTCAGCTCTTGTCTTATTAGCCAGCTCTATGTGGCAGGCTATTAGCAAATAAATGAACGGATGAAAGATTAAAGTTAAATCAACTCTCGTTATGGTAATGAACATCATGCAACCAATTGACATTCAGTTTCAAGCTGTGCAGCTGCGGGAGATATTGCCAAGTATATTGCGATAGTGTTTAGTTTGTCTAGTTATGGCTAGAACCATTAGGTATCCTACTGCTAGACAATTAAGTCCTTGTATATACTGATGAATCCTACGCAAATTGGTAGTCGCTTAAGAGCTGGGATAACTCGGATTGCTAAGGTCTTAGACTTGGTCAGTCTAAGCGATAGCTCATCAGATCTCTCAAGAGAACAACTATGGTATGCAGTCAGAGTTATTGGCTTTCTTATACTACTCCTATTCCATCTTTTACCATCTGTTACAGACAACCAGTTTAGCTGTAATAGAAGACCTTTTTCATCTTCTCTTATAGCTAAGGACCCATATCTATATCTTTTCATGTAACCCTCTGTCTATCTTCATTTATATTTATACTAGTCAATTCAGTATAGATAATATTAGCTCGATCCCACACTTGACTTGCTCAACTCACCTGTGCTGCATTTCCATTTGTGTTATCAGCAACAGTTGCCTCGGCAGCGTTCTCCAGATTCAGCTTCAGTTGCTGTTGCAGTTGCTTAGAGTCAAAGCGCAACTGTTGTTGGTGTTGTTGTTGTTGTTGCTTGTGATTATTGTTGTTGGCATTCAGTTGCTGCTGCTGCTGCTGCTGTTGCTGAGGGGTGTTGTTGTTGTCGCTGTCGCACTGCATTTGTTTGTAGCAATTGTTGCTAATGATGTGTCTCATGTTGCTGTTGCTGTTGCTGCCATCGCTGGCGCTGCCATTGATTTGAAACTGAATGTCCATGTCGACAATGCTGCGCTGCATTTGGGTAACCCGTGAGGTGGCCGAGGTCTCCGTATGGACACCGTTCGAATTGGACGAGGAGCAGGCGCTGCTGCTGTCGTAGTTGCTGCTGCTGCCGCCGACAGCAACAACAGATGCGGTTATTGCTGCTGCTGTTGTTGCTGCGACTGTTGCTGTTACCGACGTGGTCAACAGCAACTCCTTGTTCTCCTTATCAGAGTCGTCGCTGACTCCAGCCACGGCGCCAGACGTTGTCGATGAGATGGCAGCCGACTGCAGACCATCGACGGTGGATGTTGCTGCTGCAGCAGTAACAGTTGCTGCTGCGCCCGTTGCTGCCGTGTAGAGCCAACCCTCGTCGTCGTCATCCGATGAGGCATCAGCCGATTTCAGTATCTAAAGGAAGGTTCAAGCAAAAACTCAGTATGCAATACACAAATGAAGCAGAAGCAGAAGCAGAAGCAAAAGCAAAAACTGTGTGGGCCCACGTCAAAGTTGCAGGCTTCAGCTGCGGCTCCGACTGTGGCACAGCGCGATGAAGATGAAGTAGTAGAAAATGAAGTTTAATTAGCGTTACTTGCGCAAAATGGCAAATTGTAACTTGTAGTCACAGCAACAGCAACAGCAGCAGCACCAGCATCAGCGCCAGCAACACCAACAATTGCAGCTACAAATTGTTGTTGCTGCTGCTGAGTGGCAAAAATCTTTTGAGCTCGCCTCAAGTGCCGGTTGCCTCTGCCAGCACGGCCATGGCTCGCTGCGACCCCTGCTCAGAGTAGGAGTTGCCGCCGTGCCGCCCTCTAACAAATGGCTGGCTGTTGCTGTTGTTGTTGCTGTTGCTGCTGCTGATGTTGCTGCTGTTGCTGTTGTCGTTTTCTCTGTTTGCAATTTATATTAATGCTGTGACGTTTCGTTTGCTTTGTCTCGGTGACCTTAGGCTTTGCATGCAGCCAATGCACTCATCACTTGGCTTACAGCTCCGAGGAGCAAAGAGCAACAGCAAACGGCAACAGCAGCTGTTGCAGGAGCTGCAGCAGCAACAGGTGAACACAGGTCCCAGCTACGCCGACTCCCACTTGTCATTCGAATAACTGAATTTCATTTCTATTAAATTAATTTCAAAATTCCTCAAGCAAAAGTTTTTAATTAAGGAAACTGGAAAGTTCTATCAAGAAAAGCTACATAGAAGTCTGAAACCTGATACGATATGATATTTTTGTACATAGAGTATTTTGATATACTTATAAGTACCATGTCTCAGAAGTAAAAGACTTCCAGCTTCTTTTCTTTTCTACACTCTACCTAATACGCTCTACTTTAATGAAAATAGGTTTTATTACCTCTATTACCTATCTCAGAGATCCCTCACAGGTCGCTTCGCTAACGAGCAGTTTATAAGTTCTAACTTGCTTCCATCAGCTTCTTCAGTTGCCCAAGGGTTTAGGTCATTTATATAATTAATCAATTTCTGAGCTTTTTCTACCATGCCTTGATTAGGTAACCTAGCTCAACTTTGCACCAAGTAAACTTTCATTATGAACTCAAAGCTCAAGTTCATGGAAAAAGCAGACAAATAGAAAACACGGAACTAGATGGAAGAGGCTAAAGAACTGGCTGAACTCTGACATGAGTCGACTAACTATAGCCCCCCAGGCGCGGGCTGAAAGTCGTTTAATGATTAATGATTAATGATGTAGCATTATTATGTATGGGCTACCAGATAATGAGCAGCAAAAGTTAATTAAGAAATTGTTAGGCATGCCAGAGACTAGAGAAAATATATATAAACAATTATAAATATATATTGTATTTATATATGGTTAGTTTTCGGATATAAAGAGAGAGAAAAACAATTTAACACATGCAAAACTCATGCAAATTGAATGCATTCGGCATGGGTTTTCATTTTTGTTTTTGTCGATTGTCGATAAGTCGATAACCGCAACGAATTCGCTTTGGCTGATGATTGGGCTAGAGAGTCGATACCAACACCACCATGAAAGACCGTTCACCCTGGCTGCTAGCGGTACTTACTTCGCTGGCACGTTCCACCTCATGGTCCTCTCCAGCCGGGTCGGTGCCGGCGCCGCTCGTCTCATTGTCCGTGTCCAAGTGCTTGAAGTAGAAAATGGCGCAGTTCTTGGACTTGCGATTGGATCGATTGAACTTGGAGGTGTCATTATGACTGCGATGCATCAGCGACTTTCTCAGCACCGTCGGCGACTTGTTCAGGTCGTGGCCATGGCCGTGGCCGTGACCATGCCCATTATGGACATGCCCATTGCTGTGGTGTGTGTTCGGCGTAATCACCGCGACGGCAATGCTCTTCGACTTGCCGTTGTGGCTGCTGTGGCATTGGGGCGGCAACATTTTGTTGCCGTGTCGCGTCTGCAGCAGCGACAAATTTGATAAATTTGGCGTCGAGCTGCTGCCGCTGCCGCTGCCGTTAGTGTTGCCGTTGGCGTTGGCGTTGCCGTTGCAGTTGATGCTGCTGCTGCTGTTGATGGCGTGCGACATATTCAGATGACCCGCCGTCAGCTGAGCCAGGCGCTGATTGAAGGAGATACCACTACAGCAGGCGCCTCCGCCTCGCCTCAGCTGCTGCACTTGCTCCAGATCGCTGCTCTCGGAGTCTGCCTCAAAGTCGGTGAGCGTAGCCGCTCCAGCCGCCGAGTTGCTGCTGTGGCTGAGGTGGTTGTGGTGGTGGTTACTTTTGCCCGGTCGCCAGGCTCGCTTGGCAATCACAAAGTCAACAACGTCGGCGTCGGCGTCGTCGTCGTCTTCCTCGTCCGCCTCGTCACCAGGCTGCGTTCGGTTTCGGGTGTTGGTTTGTGTTTGTGTGTGTGGAACAGAGATTGGTTAGGCAAATGCATTGGCAGGCAGTTAGAGTAAGGCGCAGGCAAACTCAGACTCACACATACACACACACATGGACGATAAGAATATTTGCATGCTGCTGCAGTGCTGCCAACTCGGTTGGAGTTTTGTGACTGGATTGGAATTGTTACGGGAAGCACTTCATATCTTTAGACATTTTGGGTTTGGGTTCAGGTTGGATATATGCAAGAGTTGACAGTTCCACATAAAAAGGAAATTCAGGGATGGCAACTAAATTGATTCTTGTTAAATCATACGAATTCGAAATAATTCGAATGAAGATGCGGACACTGCTGCCAGAGGCAAGCATTGTATTGTATTGTATTCAGCAAAGCAACTTGGGTATTTCTTGAGCTATTTCCTTTTTTATATAGCATATTTAATATGCTCTTTGTGCTTAATGCACACTCATTACTGATAGCATATAATTTTCTTCTTTTTGGTACCTTAAAGGCTGACATAACTGTTAGGGTCAAGCAAGCATCAAGTCATTTATCGCAAAGGTCAAATCGTTAGGCTCGCTTCATTTGCCAGCTCAAGTTCTCGGCTGTTGGTTTACAATTTTGGAGTTAGGAATAATAGGTTGAGGGTTAGGTTTTTTAGGCTCGAAGTAAGTTGACAATACTGTAGAAGGCATGCACTACTATGTATTCTAACTAGCAATAACGACATACACAACAACTACAAACGAACAAACATACTAGAGGAGGACAACGCGCAGACTCTGCGCACAAATTTGGCATATATGCAAATGTATTTGGTTCTGCCTACCTTTTGGGTTGCGATACAATCGCGTGACTGATCCTCAGCTTGGACGCTGGCAACGACGATCTCTGTGGCAGTTAGCTGACAGCGCTGCAAGAGCTCCGTCGAGTTATGGCTGGGCGCACTCTCGCACTCCAAATCCAAATCGGAAACGGCCTCGTTCAGATCGTCCTCGGTGGCTGCGTCGCCGTCTTCGCCCTCGTAGCCGAACGAATCGTCTTCGGTGTCGTCGTCGTCATCCAAGCCGTTCTGTATGAGAAGCGAATAGAGAGGTTGAGGTAATGAGTATTGAGTGAAAGAGAAGGTGTTGCTAGTTTAGAGAGACAGCTAGCTAAGCTATAATCTGCCTACAGTATTTTCTCATATAATCAAAGTTTACAGGGTATATACAAGTCCGACAACTCGCTCATTTTCTCTGCAATATGAATTTCAGTTTTTAATTGGCCAACTTGATTTGGATCTGAGGAAAGCATAAATATTGCTCAAGCAGCCGCTGGTCAGTCGCATTTTCACAATTTTCACACATTTCCAACACAATTTCCCATCACGTAACGCGATGACTGTTGCGAGTTTCCTTCTTCGCATATGTTATAATTGCTTTCAATTGCTGTGCCGTGGCTGGGGCCAAGTGCCAGACAAACAGACATAAAATATATAGAAAAAGTAACAAAAAGAAAACACGACAAGCAGTTGCCCAGACAGATGATAGATAATCCGAAAAAGTGAAAAAGAAAAGCAATGAGCAGCAGGCGGCTGAGGAAAAGCACACGTCATGTGGGTGGCTGTGGGAGGAGGCGGCGCGCACTCATCTAATGCGAAGGCGGGCCTTGAAGCCTCTTGAAAATTAACACGAAAAACACAAGTGCTCAACATTTGGGAAAGCAGCTAAATAGTTGGCAGCTTAACCTCCGTTGACCTTGGCTACCCTTCGTAGCCCCAGCATCCCATTCCCCTTTACATTCATTCAGAACATCATCTGCTTTTGCAGCTCATAAAAATTTGAAAATTTCATTATTAGCCCATCGCAAACTGTAAAATTTTTAATGCCTAACATGTTTCCCTTCCGATTTGCGTAATCTTCAATGTAATTTGTGCCTCGGGGGCATCGGAATTCCATGTTAACGACGCCAGCTGAAGGTCAGCAGCAAATAGTTTGCATCTATTAAGAGTCTGCTACATGGGCAAGTTTCGTACTTATAATGATGAAAGAACACGCAGAGTTTGGATGTTAACAATTTGAATACCCTATAGATTTGTATAGTTCTAATGAAGCCAGAGAGATTATACATAAGTAAAAGTTGTTTGGAATTTCCATATCATGCTAAAACCGTCTCTTGCCGACTTTAGCTAGTGAGAGAAAAATAAAAGAGGTTGGAGAAAATTAAGTTTTCCTAGGGGAATTTGACTAAGTTGCTTAAGCTATTTTTAAGGTATATTATTCAGTACTACCTCTAACCTGCTCTACCCATTCGCTTCTCTACCCTTCTTTACAGTTCCAGGGTATCTAGACATGATTTATGGAGTATTTGGCAGCTTTTCAAACACTTGTGCGAGGCGCCTTTAGATTAGTTTGTTTACATTCCAGAAGACTTCAACAGATCTTTAGCCCAGCGAGTTTACCTTTGAACGCGCAGCAGCAGGTGTAATTGGGCCAGACAAACAAAGTGAATGCGAACGAAAATGGACACTACAAGTCGATTTGATGATAAACAAATACAAGAATTCCAAATCGAAATCAACTCAGCTGAATAGGCTTAGCACCCGCATTTAGATCTCTTGATTAACTAAAATAAATTCAATCTGTTCTCTAGATTAACTAAAATAAATCCAAACATATTCATATTTAACTCAATCCAATAAAATGGAATGACAAGCTAAAGAAAGCCATAAAACCTTTTTTCTCAGCTTATTCCAGTTCAACTTCTCTTTGGCTGCCCTCGCCCACAGCTCAGATAGGTTGGCTCTGTCGGGCCTACAATTTATGAACTTATTATGCAAAATGCATTTACACACACACACACACACACACAGACAGAGAGAGATCCCATCAAAAAGGTGGCAACGCCTTCCTCTTGTTGTTGCTTTGTCTGGCGGTTGTTTCCTTTGTTGCCTGACTGCCTTCGACTGCTTCTTTTGCTTTAGCTGGAAATTAAGTTCAAGTTTATCGCAACGCACTTCACGCGAAACGAATGCGGCAGGCGGGCGACGGGCGTAGGGGGGCGTGGCTGTGCAGTTGGACACGTGACGTGAAATGTTGTAGTTGTAGCTAGTTGTTGTTGTTGTTGTATGTTGCCAGCTTAGCACCTCATTTGCCCCGAGCTGAGCTGAGCTTCGCTCTGTGCTAAAACTATCATTAGGACGCGAGATAAACATCGGCCACGTACAGTGAAACCACACTAACAGCAACAGCAACACGCAATCTTTCGTTCTGTCACAATTCTCATGTCATTTTCTCTGTCTCTCTCTCTCTCTCTCTCTCTCTCTCTCTCTCTCTCTCTCTGTCTGTTTCTTTTTCCAAAGAACTTTAGTTGCTGTTGTAATATTTTTTTACCAACACGAAAACAACTCGAAATGCGATTGCTCGATAAGTTTTTGTGTTTCTCTGTGCTTAAAATATGTGTGGGAAATTTTGTGTGGCTACTGTTTTTTATTCTCCCTCTCTCTCTCTCTCTTTCTCTCTATCTTTATTTGAAATTATGAATTTCCCACACGCCAACATTTAATTATCACTAAACGCTTTCATGTCATCGATGTGGAGCTTAACTCTATTAACATATTACGTTCGTTCGTTCGCAGGGGGCGTGTAATTGTCGTGCAATCAGGCAACGAGAAGAAAACAAAAACGTGAGCTGCAGCTGGAAATTGTTGTCAGTGTAATGCATGCCCATATATCTACCTACAAAGCAAACAATCATTGGAAACTACTTATACATAGCTGACAGCTCAGTTAAGAGCCACTTGATCAATTGCTTTGTCACTTTGTACACTTAGGGAAATTAGATACATAGAAGTATGCAGTAGCAACTCTTTAGCCAACTTGGAGTTGGCAATTACTTGCATATACTTGGGATACATTAAATTATCTTTAGATCTATTAGATGATATGTACTTTAAACTTGTTGTCTATAAACTTAAGCAAGCAACAATCTTTTTGCTCAGTGTACCGTTTATTAATAGAATTTTATATCAAGTGCAATGTTTCTATTGTCTTATTGCAGTGACAAATGTAAACAAACGAGTATTGTAGATCGAAAGCCAAACGTGACTAAACTAAGCTTAAATCAAAATATTTCTATAGAGCTATAAATCTCTAAAGATCTATTCAATAATAAAGAAATTACCTTGCAATGCATTTAACAGCAACATCAATGCAAATATATTGCAGACAGCAACAAGCGCCATGACAGCAGCAACAGCTAAAGCGTTGACAACCCGCAGCTACATGAAAACGTCCAAGTCATATGAAAGCAGCAGCAGCAACAGCAACAACAACTTGCAACATGCCCAGCTTTTTGCCACACAAACGCAGTGCAAAAGTATGCGATGACAACAGCAGCACCCGCTGCAGCAACAATATTATTACCAGCATTGCTGCTGCTGCTGTTGCTGTAGTTGTTGTTGTTGTTGTTGCTGTTATAGAAAACATTTCCTGGTGCCGCAGCAGCAGCAGCAGCAACAACTGCAATGTTCACAATTTAGCGCAACTATTACAAATCGCATTAGACGCTAAATTTAGCCAAGTTGCGGCGCGTTGCTCACAGCAGCAACAGCAACAGTTGCTAGAATGACGACAATATTTGAGCACAGACTTAGGCTCCCCGAGCGGGCTATGGCTTTCGAGTGACCCTAATAGGTTGACAGCGGCTGCACAGCTGGCAACATGTTGCCGCAACACGTGCGTGAGTGGGTGTGTTGCCGGCCCACGCATGGCGCATAATTGCAGGTTGCTGCTGTTGCAATTGCTGTTGTTAAGTTAAGGTGTTGGTATGATGAATGGCAATGCAGAATAGTTGTAGGCCAGCACAGGCTGACAATTCGCAGTCAATAAAAAAGATAACTAGACAATGCCAGCCAGAGAGAGGGGCGCAGAGCGGGAGGGAGAGGGTGGCAGAGAGTGGAGTGGGCCAGAGATAGGCAGCTAGACAGTTGAACAATGCAAACAAAGGCCGCTTTTTGACATTTGCCAAATGTCAATATGCCATAAATGCAGCACGGGAAATATCATTGCAGGAAATCACAGAAAAAATATGGCAGCTGCGGGTGGCGCACAATTAAATACCCTAACTAGCATAAGAAGTGCGATATGCGTTATGGTATCTGGTGTCTGACCAGACACTAAATGATAAGGAGTAAAACTAGGGTATTACAGCTTAAGATACTGTAATGCATACCAGATGTTAGGCACTTGACATGATATCTATAGATATAAGGTAGAAACCACTAAATATTAGATACCCAAAAGATATCAAAGAATGAAGACTAAAGAGCCAAGCTATAAGAACTATAAGAACTTGAGGTCTAGATACTGTATGCTAGATACTAATATGATTCTATAAATGCTGAAATATCAAAACATACTTATTTATAAAGGTAGATGGTGAATTTTCTAGTAAGTAAATAAGTATTCATGTAATGTCAACTTCTTTAAGAACTTCGTAATGCCCATTTGCAGCTAGGGTATAGCTCAGCTTGTTGCAATCGAAGATGTCTCTGTCTCAGCCATTGTTTTTGTGCCCTGTTGCATTAGCCGCTGATTTATGTGTCTGTCTCAGTGTGTGTGTGTGTGTATGTGTGTGGGTTAGTCTGACGCGTTGACAACATCAAACACAGCAGCAACATGTTGCTGGTTGCCTGTGTTGCTGCTGCTCCCATTGCTATGTGGCGGCATTTAGTTGTTTACATTTGGCTTCATCTCTGCTTAGCTCCCCAGCCCCTCAGCTCCTCAGCTCCCCAGTTGCTTTCTGCATTGTAATTTCCCCATTGATTACATTGCGGCCACATCTCGTTTGTCTTCTGCTCGTCTCTTTCCGTTCCATTCGCTTCGACTCGATTCGATTCGATTATAGGAATTGGAAGTCGTCGTCTGTTTACCAGCTGCTGCCACAATGAAGCAATTTGGCCATGTTGCTGATGTGGCTGCGACTGCGGCTGCGGCTTTTACTCTTGTTGTTATTATTCTGAGCTATTTCTTACTTTTTTATTGCCATCATCCGTTGGCCGGCTCTATTCGGGGAGCTCCCGTTGACTCC